GGGCGCCCTGGGAAGCCGCCCGCTGCCGGCTGACCCTGCGCCCCTGGTGCCCAGACCCCTACGTGAAGGTGTGGCTGATGTACAAGGACAAGCGGGTGGAGAAGAAGAAGACGGTGACGATGAAGAGGAACCTGAACCCCATCTTCAACGAGTCCTTCGCCTTCGATGTCCCCACGGAGAAGCTGAGGGAGACCACCATCGTCATCACGGTCATGGACAAGGACAGGCTCAGCCGCAACGACGTCATCGGCAAGGTAGGGGCGAGGCGGGCGGGGTCTGTCCTCACAAGACGCAGGAGGGAGGGGGGCGAGCACAGGGCTGGGCCCTGGGAGAGAAGGGGCCACATCGGTCCGTCCCTGCCCGCTCCGGGCCTCTGAGGATGAGGGGGTTGGACGGGCTTCTGCTGACGTGTGGTGCCGAGGCTGGGTCGCCAGGACAGCCAGCTGGAAAGGCAGGGATCCCAAAATGACCTTCAGGGAAAGGACCTCGGAGCAGCGTCCCCCAGGGTGCCACCTGCAGAGGACGAGCCGCGTGGGGCACGTCCCGCCTCCCCGGCTTTAGCTGTGTGGCCTTGGGCAGGCCCCTGGCCTCTCCGAGCTTCACTGCTCTCCCTTGTGAAAAATGGAGCTACTGCTCCGGGCCCTGCAGCACCCCCGGGGTGGTGTTTGGGTGCCTGAGGTCTGTCCACGTTCTCCTGGTGAAACGCGGCTGCTGCTCCTCACAGATGAGCCGGAAGGTCCCTGCCTGGCCTGGAGGTTTGCCAGGAGGTGCCTCTGTGGCATGACTCTTCCGTTTTCCTGCTTTGAAACAGCTGTTCCTGTTCCGTTATGGTTTAGTGTTAGCGTGTGAGCCTGGGAGGCAGGCGGCCTGGGGCCAGGTCCGGGCCCTGACTCTGAACAGTCATCGCCTTTCGGAGCCTCGTTTCCTCCTCTTACAATGAGTCTGAGATCCCACTGAGTATGAGGTCCCACTGTGCAACAGGCCGGCGCCCAGGTTCCCAAAGGAAGTCGGCTGGCGGGGCAGGGAGGAGGGGCCTGGCGAGGTAGCTGGTCCCTGCCCGAGGAGGCCCCTTGGTCCCCATGATCCTAGGTGGAAGGGACACCCCCCGGGGGGGCAGGGACGGCGCCTGGGAATGCGCCACTGACGCGTCCTTTCCCCCCAGATCTACCTGTCCTGGAAGAGCGGGCCCGGGGAGGTCAAGCACTGGAAGGACATGATCGCGCGGCCCCGGCAGCCTGTGGCCCAGTGGCACCAGCTGAAGGCCTGAGGCGGCCAGAGGAGGCCCAGGGGCCAGGGGACCGGGCCCCCATCATGCCCGCACCACTTTATGCACAACGCCCGGCCTGGCCCCCTGCCGCGGGTGAGGGGAGGACCCTGCCGGCTCGGCCAGGGAGGGGTCCCAGAGATCATTTGGGCCCCGTTTCTAGGAAGAACCAGCCCCCTCCTCCGCCAGGCCAGCTCTGGGGGAGGGGCTGTGGGAGCCATTTTCCTGCTTTGCCCCTTTACCTTCCTGACTTGCTGATACTAAAGAAGTGGGGGAGGTCATGAGAGCCAGACGGGCAGACGGGCAGATCCCTCCAGAGGCCCGCCAGGTGGGCACCGTCCCCCGTTTTCTTTGAGGCGGTGCCTGGAGTGGAGAGAGGCCCAGGAGAGGGGAGGCCGAGGCGCTGGGCCCCGGCCTGGCCAGGGCAGTTTCAGGTGCCGGCTGGGCCCTGAGTGCCAAGGACAGTACAGAGCCCTCGGGGGTGCTGGAGCCGCAGCCCTGTGTACTTGTGATGTGTCCACCATGTGTGTGTATGTGTGTGCCCGTGCGTGCATGTGTGTGGGTGGGGGGCTCGCTCCCTGTCCCCCTGGGGCCAGCGGTGTGAAGACTGTGCAGAGAGGGCAGGGTTTCATGGAGTGAGGCGGGGCCGGAGCCTGGAGGGGACAGTGCACTGAGCCAGGGGCAGGAGAGGAGAAGCGGGGAGGGGTGAGGAGGGGTGGGGAAGAGGGGCAGACGCAGCTGGGCTGAGAACTGGGCTGCCTCCAGCTGTACCCCCCCGCCCCCCACCCTGCCAGGGCCTCTCTCTGCTCGGAGTTCTCCAGTAGCTCCTTCCCCAGTGACGTCATTCATCCCTTGAGCATTGTTTCACACCTTTTAGGCACCTACTGTATGCATCCCATCCCGCCAGGACCCACTAGCGCCCTTCCTTCCAGAGACACCCTTGTTCATCCCAGTTCACACAGCCCAGCCCCACTGGCAATATTCTACCCAAGTCCCACTTTCTTCCCTTCATCTCGCTCTGTCCGTGCAGACCTGCCCCCCCCCACACACACACACACACTCATATATACACACACTGCTCCCCTCCATCCTCCTGCTTGCTCACCTTCCCTATCACAGGCTCTACTGCTGCATCACCCATTCTTCTCCAGGAGTGTCTCCTCCCCTCGCCCCTGCACCCCGTCCTTCCAGGCAGCTCCTGCTCCCCTTCTCAGTTCAGGGCAGGGAAGCAGGGAAAGTTCCAGGGCCTGAGAGAGGAGGAACAGGGGAGGGGTGAGTGGAGGAGGTGGGGAGGGAAGTGGTGAGTTCAGAGGTTTCTCCGCCTCCGCTGCTGCAGATTCCGCCCCTTGGCGACAGCAGATTCCGGGTTCACCCCTGCTTAAGCCCGTGCTTTTTTTATTGATACAGGACTGCTGGCCACAGCTTCCGAGCCCGGGGTCCGCGAACCGGGACCTGACATTCCCGGCACTCACCGCCAGGTGGCGCCAGGACACCGCAGTCGGTGACCGCGTTCTCGGACCAAGGCCTACCCCAACGGGGGCGGCACCCCGGGAAAGGAGAACCCCGGACAGGGTCCCCGTTTAGGAGCGTGGCATCCGCATGGGCGTTGGGAACCACCCTCCTTGCCCTCCCCCCTCCCTGCCGCAGGCGGGCCGCATTCTCGCCCGGATCACATTTTCTGACCTTGACTCACCCCTGCCCCTTGGGCGGAGGGATGGCACCCGCAGTCGGTGACTCGTGCCGTGGAGTGGAAAGTGCTCGTGTACACAACTAGTCGCCCACACCCCCTGTAAACCCAAATGTCTCTCTAGTGTAGCTTTGCTTAAATTGGGGGTCCGCCCCGTCCTCGCCGAGCGGGCCGGGGACTAGCCCCCAGCGGGGACGGGAGGGCGGGGAGTCCG